TGTACAGGACACACCTGGGCAATTTTCCACATTGTCGGGTAGATACCAGCGTTGTAACTGCACTGGAACAGCTTGGCTAAGGGAGCGGCAAGTTCTGGAGCACAAGTCTTCAGTACTATTGCCGGAATGCTGTCAGGGCCCGTAGCCTTTGCAGTATCCAGTGTCTCCAACCGTTTCTTGATATCACATGGAGTGAATCGAATTGGCTGAAGACTGGTATCTGTGATGCTGGGGACCACTGGAGGAGGCCGAGATGGATCATCCACTTGGGACTTCTGGCTGAAGATCGCTGCAAATGCTTCAGCCTTATCTTTTGCACTGATGTGCTGGGCTCTTCCATCATTGAGGATGGGGATATTTGTGGAGCCTCCTCCTCCAGTGAGTTGTTTAATTGTCCACCACCATTCATGACTGGATGTGGCAGGACTGCAGAGCTTAGATCTGATCCGTTGGATGTGGGATCACTTAGCTCTGCCTATCACTTGCTGCTTATGCTGTTTGGCGTGCAAGTGGTCCTGTTTGGTGGCTTCACCAGGTTAATACCTCATCTTTAGGTATGCCTGGTGCTGCTCCTGGCATGCCCTCCTGCACTCTCCGTTGAACCAGGGTTGATCCCCTGGCTTGATGGTAATGGTTGAGTGGGGGATATGCCGGGCCATAAGGTTACAGACTGTGTTGGAGTACAATTCTGTTGCTGTTGATGGCCCACAGCATCTCATGCATGCCCAGTCTTGAGTTACTACATCTGTGCGAAGTCTGTCCCATTTAGCATGGTGATAGTGCCACACAACATGATGGAGGTTGTTCTCAATGTGAAGGCGGGACTTTGTCTCCACAAGGACTGTGCAATGGTCACCCTTACCGATACTGTCATGGACAAATGCAACTGCAGCTGGCAGATTAGTGAGGATGAGGTCAAGTATGTTTTTCCCTCTTGTTGATTCCCTCACCACCTGCCGCAGACCCAGTCTAGCAGCTATGTCCTGTAGGACCCGACCAGCTCGATCAGTAGTCCTGCTGCCGAGCCTCTCTTGGTGGTGGACATTGAAATCTCCCACCAAGAGTACATTTTGTGCCCTTGCCATCCTCAGTGCTTCCTCTGGGTGTTGTTCAACATTGAGGAATACTGATTCATCAACTGAGGGAGGACGGTATGTGGTAATCAGTGGGAGGTTTCCTTGCCCATGTTTAACCTGAAGCCATGAGACTTCATGGGGTCCGGAGTCAATGTTGAGGACTCCCAGAGCAACTCCCTCCTGACTGTATCCCATTGTGCTGCTCCCTCTGCAGGGTCTGTCCTGCCAGTGAGACAGGACATATCCAGGGATGGTGATGGTGGTGTCTGGGACATTGTCTGTAAGGTATGAGTGTTTGAAGATGTGGTGCCAATCTACCTCCTCTCTCTCTCTCTCTCCTGTCCAAAACAAGGCATTGGTGACCATGAAACTGCACTGTATTTCTGTTGGATCATGGTAATGCTCAGTAAGATACTGAAGTGATTTGCCAATGCCTTCTGCAGGATGGCTAACCAGGAGACACACTCACCCTTACCACCTGCCATCAGGAATTTCAGTAGGGTTTGTAGGTTAATGATCAACCTGTTATGAATATACCTCCCATGACCATTAGGTCCTGGAGGGGAACTTCAACCTGAAGTTTCTGGCTTAGAGGCAGGGACGCTACTGACTGCTCCAGAAGACCTCCCCATTCTAGTCCTGAATGTTTTGTTACTTCAAGAACTCATTTATATTCCCCTAAAACCCATTCTATGCTATTTGTTTTTAGGTGGTCCTGGCTCAGAAATCAAATAACTTCTGTGTGACAATAAAAAGAGGACTTCCCTTTCTTTAAAACCTTGAAACGTATCACTTCTGTCTTTCACTGTTCAAATACTCCACTCCAAGTAAACAATTTCCTTCAATTTACTCAGTCACCTCAAACATTTCTCTCACTGTATATTACTTGTTCCTGAAATAATTAAATTCTTGATACCTGGGAACATTGTTTTGTTCCTGAATCAAAGTGCAAGAAATAATGTTGCTCCTGTTATTTAGCGAATGTCACAAAACAATCTAAATATAGTGTGACCAGCACCTTATACAGCAAGGATCTATCCTGCTTATATATTTAAGTGTAATTAAGCATAGCATTGACAGAGCTATTTTTAACACATGCTTCCTTACAAATTAGTTTGCTTTTATCCTCATAAACCACACTTGCTGACTACTGGCCCAGAACATTCCAGAAGTTGTGGCTGAGTTGCTTCCTACTTTAACTCATTGAACTATTTCCTCTTTCAAGGGAATCTAGAGCTAGGCACACAGTTTTCAAATAAAACACATAATTATCCATAACTTTCATCATAACATAATTAATGAAGTAATTTTCCAAATATTGTTGTGAAGTGGGGACACAGGGAGGGGTGGTGTCAGAGGTGAAGGCAAAGGGCTGTTTTAAAAGTCCCCTCATCTGTCCCTCCAAATGCCTCTGGATTGGACAGTTGGAGGTTCCCTCAAACTCTGGTTTCTCAGCTGGGAATCCAGATACCAATCTCACCTTCTGGGGAAGGGAAGTAATTAGGGAAATGGTGGATACTTTTTATTTCAACCTGTTCAGAGATATTACGACACACCTCTGGAGCAGGTGTGACTTGAACTCAGGACTTTGGCTTAGAGGTGAGGACACTATCATTGTGCCACAGAGGCCCCTTGGGGATTCAGTGAGTTGAGGTCATTAATTGATTGCTTAAAGCCGTTAATTGGTAGCAGGTCAGGAAAGTTGTCCATGGACATGCTCACCCAACCCTTTATTAGAGTTGTACTGAGAAGGGGTTGAGCATCTCACTGGGGTCAACTCATCCAAATGTTTTCCCTTCTCACCACCTCCAGGTAAGGGAAAATTGAACCCAAGGAGCCTCTTATTCAAGGCAGAGATAAGAGGGAATTTCTTCTCCCAGGAATGTTGTTATAGTGCTTGGAATTCTTTTGCTCAGTGAGCATTGGGGGCTGGTTCATTGAATTTAGTCAAGGCTAAATTTAGACAGATTTCTGATTGACAAGGAAGACGAGGGTTATGGGGGACAAAGAGGACAGTGGGGTCAAGGTTACAATCATATATTATTATCAAGGGACCAAATGACCCGAAACTGCTTGGATTTCTTAGGGTCTTATCTATTTTAGAAAAAGAGCATGAGGATCGCATCAGTTGTCCATGTCTTGCACCACAATAAGTCACTCTGACCCAAATCATCTCTTGCAATGCTAACTGCGATTTCACAATGTCATTTAGTCAGGTACTACCATCAGTGAAACATGCTTCAGGGTCTAAGTACTCTTCAGGTTGCTCGACTGGTGGCCCCTCTTCTCCTTCTGGCTTTATATCTATTGTGCTTCCTTCTGACGAGCTGGTGTCATCCAGTTTCTGCAAATTCACAAGACAAACAAATGATTGGTAACTCCACAATGAAATAAGTGATGCTGAAGGAATAGATGTCATCACAACAAGAACAGAAAGATATACAGTAGGTCATGCATTGCTACCTTGTCCTGGCCATCAGTTTTTAAGCACTTTTTTAAGAAGTATTTTTGGAAAAAGACACATTCTGTTGAGATTTGCACTTATCAAGACAATTGGCAAGAATACTAATTTAAAGGGACATAACCTTTATACTGTATATGAGATCAGTGCTGATTGGTAAAGGTTTCGCCATGAAGACTGCTCCAGCGAATGATGACTGGCAGTTAACTGCCACACTTTTGTACACATTTTAAAACAAGGATGTCTCTGATTGCTCAAGGCCAAAGCATCGCCTTGTGAAATAAAGAGCAGCTGTCTCTTTTTATTTAAAGTTGCGATACTTGAAGCAAAAATATATACAAAGAAGGATGTCTTACAGATCATGGTGTTAAATTTACATAGCGGTTATTCCATGCTGCAGAAAATCAAAGGGAAACTCTGGAAAAGATGGTGTCAAGATGGAGAGTTCTGGTTGTCGTAGGCTCAGTCCTTGAGATATTTTGCACTGACAACCCCAATACTGGGCACAATCGCCAAACTTCTAGACACTGAAAGCTAAGGCCTCAAAGTTCAAAATATACCAAGGTGTCTGGATATATAGTGTACTTTCACTGTGCATATTTTGTCTTTGACACAAGCTTTGTTTCGGTGAAACTGGAATAATAAATGCATCCAGAGACTTTGGAAGTCCGTACAGCTTCAGTTGGAATGGCAAGTCGATCTTTTGTGACAAACTATTTCACAGAGCTGAACAGACCAGGGGTCCTGTCCTGCCCATCTCTGTTGTATACCCACAACTTACTTTATCGCTAGTTTTAAGGAGGCTATTAGCCACTTATGCATTTGTTACTAAGTTTGCACAGTGTAATTTTAACTCCCTTGACAGCATGCTAAAGGAAACATGAAAAAGGAAGGAGACATTAAAGATACCTTGTTCATATATTCATCTACTGAGGTTGGTAAAAGAGTGCTATCACAATAGTGCATGATCATTATTGATGGGGATTCTGAATAGCATGCAGTGTATAGAAGGTGCTATTCTATTCCATTGTCAGTGCTTACATTGTTGGGGGTATACCTCCCACCCCTACTCTCTTGTCTAAAGTAACACAGCCTGTAACATTTCATTTATGGTGTTGTATTTCTATTCTACATACTGGTTTGGTACTGCCAGGGTTAAAAGTCTTAATGCAATAATGCCACTTTGTTAATGGACAATACAGAGATAAAGGCTTAACCCTGGACAGGTGAGTAGCAGAGCGAGTTGAAAACAGACTCACTACTCATGAAATAGAGCCTGGGTTATTTGAACACCGGGCATCATTTAAATCCAGCTGGAAAACAGGTAGGAAGCTGGTGGAAAATTGGACGTCCTTGAGCATCTTCGGGAGGAGGGCAACGGGTGCTAACATTTGGCATTAGGCAGATAGTATAAAAATAGGAAGTCTTGCTAAAACTGTACAGGGTACTAAAGAGACCAAAACTTAACAATTACAAGCCATTATTGAAGGAAAGATATACTGATATTGGAGGCAGTCCAGAGAAGGCTCACTAGGCTGATTCCAGGTATGGAGGGACTGTCTTATGAGGAGAGGTTGAGTACGTTGCCTCTGGACTAGTTGGAATATAGAAGAATGGGAGGCAAATTTATTGAAACATACAAATTTGTTAGAGGACTTGACAGGGTAGATGCTGAAAGATCATTTCCTCTTGTAGGAGAGTCTAGGGCCAGAGGGCATAATCTCAGACTAAGGTGTCGCAGATTGAAAACAGAGATGAGAATATTTACTTTTCTCTCAGGGAGAGAAAATCTGTGGAATCTGTGGAATTCTTTACAGCAGAGGGCATCACTTCATCTGATGAAGGAACAGCGCTCCGAAAGCTTGTGATTTCAAATAAACCCGTTGGACTATAACCTTGTGTTGTGACTTCTGACTTAGTCCACCCCAGTCCAACATCGGTACCTCCACATCATCTATGACAACTTATTTCCCTGCCGTGCTCAAGTATATAATCAATGAGCTCATATAATAACAATGGTGAGTGTGGAACGGAGACCAAAAAGGCCCATTCAGAAATGTTTCTTGAAAAAAGCCTACTATTCCTACATCCAATGAAAGTGTCAATCAGAAAGACCATTAATTATCAACAGAGGTTCAAACACTTTAGATCCCTTGACCTTGTCCAAATAAACAAGACATTGACAAAAGAGATCATAGAATGAACAACATTTTATAACTGCATAGAGTTGTCAATCATAATAGTCAAGATCAACTTTAATTGCTAAAACAAGGCCCTTGCTCAACTCATACTTATATTAGTCTGGGTTCTCTGCCAAACACGCATCATGAGGACACCCCCTTATATCTGGCTAGCTCAAGTAGGCTCTAGATGTTTCTCCATGGTGCAGACAAAGGCTCGACTAATCTCAACTTCCTCTCCTATGTCATGCCCCTAGCTAGGCATGTACTACTCTTATGTACCTTTTGTTGCACTGGCTGACATGTGCCACAGTGGTTATCCTGAAACTACTATCTGTAAATTCCAGGTTCTCAACTTACTTATTAAGTTCTGGAATCTTTTCAGGACTAGAATCTTATTCATCCTCAATATGATTGGTCTCAACAGTGAGCATTCCCAGAATGTTTTGGAGCATGGTCACTAAGGCAAATAAAAACTTCAACCTTCAAAAACCAAATGTAAAAAGGGTTATAAAAGGATCTTTAAAGCATTCATCTGAAATTAATTTCTCCGCTCTATCAGCAGTGAAATTGGCAGGTTTCTAATGGTTAAAACTTATGCTACAAATCAGACAAAGGAATTTGGACTATCCTGTCAAATGTTTAAATGTTCAATGTAGACCTTTCAAACAGAAAGTGCTTGGGATGGGAAATTGATTGGTCAGCCTGAAAGCATTTTGTCACTCTGAAGTTCAGCCTCTGGCATATTCAGCTGAATTACTGAATGTTGACTGGTGGTACGACAGCAACAAAAAAGCAATGACCACAGACAAGAATTACAAATATGTCTTCCTACCTCCTTGCTCCCACCAACTTCAGATTCGCTGCTGAAGTCTTCAGTATTTAGGTTTTCAAAGTCCGACTCCCCAACTGCTATTGGAACTCTGACAGTAAGATTAGGATTGTGGATAAAGGAATTGTGGTCATCATCAATTATGTATTTTTCCACACTGCTCCCTATGCCACTGGTGGTGCCATTGCCATTCTTTTGGTAGTCCATTTCTCGGTTGATATCAGCACCAGTATGGTTTCCGATGTAATTCACCTTTTTATCTATGAGCTCGTCCAGTGGTTTGGCCTCATCTGCATCTTTGCTCTTGAAATGTTTTTGAACAAATGCACGCCCATAGGCCTTCACAAAGGCGATTCCCTTCTTGATCCTAATCACAGACAACTGAAGGTTGTTGATCTCACCGTCATCGTCAGTCGCTGCAAGATTATCAGCACTGAAAGAGCTCAGCAACAAGGCCAGGAACAGGTTCAGCACCTATGGTGAAACATACGTGAATATAACAGAAAAAAGGCAGCAGAAGGAAAGCTTCTCCTTCATTTTGTAGTGAGAGGGCTCTGCTAATTTATTTAGGAAAAATTCGGGTCATTTGAGACACATCTTTGTTTTAGTATTCTCAGACTGTGTTTAAAATTACACACAACTGACCTGAACTTAACCACTGGAAGTAAACATTTGTTAAAGTGGTATTCGAGGAAATACTAATATTCAGAGACTCTGATTTCAGGGCACACAAGACCTGTTTTCTTTTTATATTCGTATATGGGATGTAGGCATTGTTTATTGCCCATCCCTAGTTTTCCCTTGAGAACACTATAGTGAGCTGCCTTCTTGAGCTGCTGCAGTCCATGTGCTGTAGGTAGACCCACAATGCCCCTTAGGAAGAGATTTCCAGGACTTTGACCCAGTGACAGTGAAGAAATGGAGATATATTTCCAAGTCAGGATGGTGAGTGGCTTGCAGGTGGCGGTGTTCCCATATATCTGCTGCCCTTTTCCTTCTAGGCGGAAGTGATCATGGGTTTGGAAGGTGCTGTCTGAGGATCTTTGGTGAACTTCTGCAGTGCATCTTGTAGATAGTACACACTGCTGCTACTGAGCATCAGTAGAGGAGGGAGTGGTTGATAAAAGTGGTGAATAGGGTGCCAATCAAGTGGGCACTTCGATGATATTGAGGACCAGCAAAGTAATTTTTTTGTTTCTCAACATCTGATAATCCTGAAGACAATTTCAGTTTTAATCTGAACACATGTTGTGAATTCAGAACTGGAAATGGTTGGACACTGACTTTTGGTTGTACAATGGGTTGCTAACTGCTACCTGGGATTCACAATTTCCTGATACATGCTCCTGGCATATGCCAGTCTTGTCAAAGTGGAAAGTAACCCCTACAGTCACCAGGAACTTCTCAAAGGACCACCACATTCAGGAAGTCCCAAATACTGCTCGAGAAGGGTAGCTCCGCCAATGAGCCAGAAATTTCAGACCAAGTATTAGACATTCACATAACCAGTCAAAATGAAACACAGTACCTTGCAATAAAACAAACACCTGAGACTGTTCTGGGATGTATTTGTACACCTCGATATACTCTTAGAAATTCATGCCTACACGACATTAAAATAAATAATTTCATGCTTATGTTAAACTGATTAATTCCATATTAGAATTACATAGGCAGGAATTATATGCAATAAATGATGGCTGTGTTACAAATTGGAACACAAGAAATGAAATCTTTTCTTTATAGCTGGCTACTAAAAATTACAATTATTTTTCAATTCTAGGCTTTTTCTTCTAGTTAAGCTGCAAAACACCACATATGCTTTATGCAGTTTTGAGTATTTGTGACAGGGTTACATAGTCTGCAATTGCAAGCAATTCCTGGGAATAAAATTACTCTTATGGTTCTAATGTACCACATACCATTTGTGTTTGGTATGTATTCATGGTAAAATTCACTACTTACTACAAGATTGCCGATGACCATGACCATCATGAACACAATGAGACACATGGTCTGGCCTGCCACTTCCATACAGTCCCACATTGTCTCAATCCATTCACCGCACAGCACACGGAACACAATCAGGAAAGAGTGGAAGAAGTCATTCATGTGCCAACGGGGCAGAATACAATTGGCATGGATCTTACAGACGCAGTCCTTGTAGCTTTTCCCAAAGAGCTGCATGCCCACCACAGCAAAGATGAAAACAATGATCGCCAACACCAATGTCAAGTTTCCTAAGGCACCAACAGAGTTGCCGATAATTTTTATCAACATGTTGAGTGTTGGCCAGGACTTTGCCAGTTTGAAAACTCTCAACTGTAAAACGGAAAGAAAGTTTGATCAACAGAACAGACAGTAATTTCAATCGCGAATCATCAGAGGACACATAATCATAAGGATTCACACCCTCCTTTGTGTGATCTAACTTTTTTTTCAAAAAACAGCTTGGATTTTAAACTAGTGGCACATTGGTGTTGGTCTATATTTGTGAAGGGGTTTAAACTTAACTAGGGCAGTCTTTCTGGAAACATCACTTGAAACAGAATATGCCTCCTGGAGTGCTCATGGACGTTTGTTTATGTTGTACGACTGGAGAGAGAAGCATTAAGTTAGTAGCTTATCAGAATCTGAGGTGAACAGGTTTTTAAAAAATCTTGTTCAAAAGCTTTTGGGCAGTTTGAAGGAAACCTGACTGAAGTCACTTACAAGTATAGTCTCTCTTATAAAAAGGAGGCTGTTCATAGCAGTTAAGGAAATAGGTTAACTCAGTGAAATAGTGTAGGTTGTGAAACTTCCAAACCTGAAGTGTTTGGTTAGAACTGTGCAGATTATTCAAAGACTGAGAAAGTCTAAGATTAGTTGTGTGAGGATTGAAGGAAAAGGCTTCACAGTATATGGGACCAGAACTCAGAAGAAGTTAAGTCAAACCTACAGATTTTATAAGGAAGGAATTTCTCTGGTTTTTGAGTAACAAAAGTGATGGTGTTAATGATAGATGGGATTTTGTTTTGTTGTATGTTTGAAATCTTTCAGGCTATTATATTTAGCTGGGTTGGTCTGTTTAATTTTATTTTTATTTACTTTGTGTCATAAACTTCTGCTTTATTGTTAAAACCAAATCTGAAGCCTTGTTTGCTTAAATTTCACCGAAAGACTGCCACACTAAATTAACAAAAAGGCAGAAGATAATCTATCAAGCCAGACTTTATTTTGGAATCTGAGTTGTCCAGTAGTAACATCAACTGGGGTCATAATTCTTATATGCTTTCAGGATGCTCCAAGGTGCTTTTAACTATCAATGAGTTGCTTTTGTAGTCACTGTCAGTTTTACGCAAACACTGCAAATGAGATAAATTCCTCCTTCTGGTTGTGAGCCAGTTGCTTATACTTCTGATACCAGATTACATTAGATTGATTTTATGCTCAGACTGTGCATGTAACAATCACTCAGTTGCAACACCTTGCAATAGAAATGACAAATTTATAATATGTAACTACGCTTCATTAAATGAAACTTGCTGGTGAAATCACCTTTTTAAATTAGGAGGCATTGCCACAGTTTTGGTCATAACAAACCATTTGCTGTAGCTGGCACTCTATTTAAATGGACTCTGAAGACTGTGTGTTGTTTAAATAGACACTGTAGACTATGTGCTGTTTAAATAATCTCTAGAGACTGCAGGCTGCAGTGTACTGTTTAAATACACTCTGTAGATTGTGTACTGTTTAAATACAGTCTGTAGACTGCATGCTGCAGTGTGTCATTTAAATAGACTCTGTCTACTGCAGACATTGTTTGCTGTAAAATAGACAGGCTGTCACAAGTCCTATCACACGCCCATTGCATTTACAACTTTCTAGTTGACACAATGGTGTCAAAAGACACAACACTCTGACGGAGAACCTGCAATGTTTTCAGGTATCATAACCCAAAGGTGATTGTAAGCAACTGTGAACAGAATTATGACATATAACACAAAACTTGATATTTACCAATCTGAAGGACCTCAGCACAGACAGTCCTTCAACATTTGCCAGACCAAGCTCCATTAAACTGAGGGACACTATAAAGCCATCAAAAATGTTCCACCCTTCCTGAAAATAGTAGTAAGGGTCCATCGCTATCAGCTTCATAAACATTTCTGCTGCGAAGATTGCAGTGAAAACCTGAAACAGAAGGCAAAACAACATTTCTAGTCATCATTCACAAGTGATTTGATCAGATAACAATTGCCAACAATTACAGGCAGTCACAAGGAGAATAGAGGGATTGTGAGACCTCATCTGTGAATCACAGAAAGCTAGTATCCAAGTTCAGTGGATAATAGGGAAGTCAAAGGGAATAGAATTTAAAAGTACGGAGGTTTTGCTAAAACTTGGTAAGGCACTAGTCAGACCACAGCTGGAATACTGTGAACAGTTTGGGCCCCTTATCTAAGGAAAGATAGACTGACATTGGAAGCAGTCCAGAAACATTCAACACTCTGACGGAGGACCTTGCAAGTCTAGGGCTAAGTTTAGGACTGATACCAAGTATGGAGGGACTGTCTGAGGAGAAGCGGATGAGTAGGTTGGGCTTGCACTCATTGGAATTTAGAAGAATGAGAGATGACCTTATTGAAACATACGATATTCTTAGGGGACTTGACAGGGTTGATGTGGAGAGGTTGTTTCTCTTTGTGGGAGAGTCTAGGACCAGAGGGTATAGTCTCAGAATAAGGGGTCACGTATTTAAAACAGAGATGAGGAGGAATTTCTTCTCTCAGAGGGGAGTGAATCTGTGGAATTCTTTCCCACAGAGGGCGGTCGAGGCTGGGCAATTAAGTATTTTGAGGCTGAGACAGACAGGGTTTTAATCAGGAAGGGAATCAAGGGTTATGGGGAAAATACAGGAAAGTGGAGTTGAGGATGATCAGATCAGCAATGATCTCGTTGAATGGCAGAGCAGACTCGATGGGCTGAATGGCCTACTTCTGCTCCTACGTCTTATGGTCCAAGCGTTTTTCATTTCCCTGCTGTAGATAAGTCACATGTGTGCTTGAAAATAATTTAGTAGTTCACTTTATATGTTGGCCGTCTGCTTTCCTTGATTTACCTAAAGTCATGCAGCCATGCATAAACAAAAAAACAGTCACAGTATAAACTTAAAACACCAAAAATTGTCAAATTCAAATATAGACACACAGTATGCATTACTCTAGATGTCCAATTGAGTGTCAATGCGTCTGTGCCTGTGCTAAATGAGTGGGCTATGGAACTGTAACTCACTATTTCAGTATCTAACACCAGAAACAGCCATATCCTGCCAGCATTATATAAGAACATATTGTATTTATGACACTTCCCTGCATGAATCACTCTTGACAAACAATGGGAGGGCTTGAGAACAGGAAAAATACAGCTGTCTCCAAGCAGGATGCCTTTTGCATGTGACAAAATCCTCAGTCCTTTTAGGCACAAGGTAATGTTGTTTTTCAGTGTTACCTTCAACCTCAATATTTAATCACACATCCACACATTTGTGCATCTTTCTCTCCCGATCACAACAGGAGTTGCAACAGTTTGCAACCATTTTTGTTTCCCATTTGTATGCACTTTCTGATTGTCACACATAGTTTTTGTAATATTTGAGTGTCATCAAAAAAAACCTGCACTTTAATAATGATGACATTCTCTTCCCCAAGAAACATGCTCACAGCCTGAAGGCTGAAATACAGTGTGACAAACGTCAAAAAATTCCTCTGTAGTCTAAAGTGATCATATTTGAAACTTGCAAACAGGTAACGAGCACATGATAACAAAAACAGACAACCCAATTATCAGGAAACAGGGTAATGGTCGACTGGTTATTAAAGGAAAGGAAATGTTGAATTAAAGTTATGAATCAATACACGGTTCCTACATAATAGGCACTAAAATGTGCGTAGATTTAATCATTTCAGTCCTTTACTGAGTACCCAAAACAGATATGGAATAGGGCTGCATCTGCACCTTTCTGTCCCAAGTCTTACAGTTTTCAAAATGTATTCTTCCATGGAACGTGAGCATTGCTGGCAAGACCAGCATTTGTTGCCTGTCCTTAACTGCCCCAGAACTGAGTGACTTGCTTGACCATCTCAAGAGGACAGAGTGAACCACATTGCTGTGGGTCTGGAGTCACATGTAGGCCAGACCAGGTAAGGATGGTAGTTTCCTTCCCTAAAAGACATTAGTGAACCAGATGGATTTTTACATCAATTGATGATAGTTGTCATGGTCACTGTCATTAAGACTTGCTTTCAAAAACTTTAATTAAAATTCCACAGCTCGCCATTGTGCAAGGAGAGAGGGGGAGATGGTGGAGAGAGAGCGAGAGGGGGAGGGGGAGGTGACAGAGACAGAGGGAGGTGATGGAGAGAGAGAATGAGTTGGTGGGGATGGTAGAAGAAAGAGAGATTGAGTACAGTGTGGTACAGAGACAGAGTAGAAAGAGATAGAGAAGACAGTGAGAGGAAGGGGTGAGCAACAGAGAGAGCACTAGAGGAGGGAGGCAGAGGTAGATAGAGGAGAGAAAGCGCGAGCTAGGAGACTGCGAGCGAGCTAGGTGGGGGGAGAGAGAGAGAGAGTTAGGAGGCGAGTTAGAGAGCTAGGAGGCGAGAATGAGCAGAGACAGAGATAACAGATACAATCCAGAGACTGAAACAATTGCTGAAGACAAAACACAGGAAGCTCAATATTTTATTTTAAGCCCAAATTAACACTCACGTGAAAAGTTGAGAGAACACATTTTTGCTAAAGCTTGCTAGTCAAGCGCTGACTAAGACCACTGAGAATTCAGGTATAAGAGATTGTTTCTGCAGGAAAACTAAAGTACCTCTCAACCAATGATTATAGTTATCAGAAAAACTCAGAAAGCCTGGGGCTCTTTCCTTCGGAACAGGAAGTGGAGACCTGATTAAGATCTTTAAGACTATGCAGACATTTTATCAAGTCGATGTAGATATAAAGGCTGTTTCCACGTGTGGGCGACTCTACAAGTAGGGACCCATATTGAGATAGAAACAAAGAATGCAGGAGAAATGGCTTTACTCAGAGTGTGGAACATGCTACTGGGGAAGTGGGTGAGGTGAACAGTGTGGCTACACTTGAGGGGATTCGAGATAAGTTCCAAAGAGGTGAGAGGAGACTTGTATGGACCATAAACAGCAGAACAGACAGCTGGGTCTGATAATCTGTCTTAACATTTTCCATTTCTGTTCTGAAAACAGAAATTAAACCATGTGCCTTACCAGGTTTCCCACAGCCAAAACATTTTCAAAGGACGGCGTCATTGGGTAGTGCTCCATTGCCATGAAGAGGGTATTGAGTGCAATACAAATGGTAATGGCTAGGTCCACGAATGGATCAAACACAAACAGATGCATGTACTCTTTCAGCTTCAACCAGAGGGGGCAGCATTCCCAGATGAGAAACATATTTGCAAATTTATACCAGCAGGGTGGGCACTTCCTCTGAGACTCTTCGAGCTCTGAAATCAAAAAGTCAAAGAGTTTGAAATAAGTTAGCCACAATTACGAACAACAAAGTTGTGTGCAGCATAGTTCAGTGGTTCATGAATTCTGCCAATCCCTTTCTGAAGGTGGTGGGTGTTACAGTTGCTGTGACAATGTGCATTTTTAACTGCATGTTGTTATTTGCAGCTGTGGACTCTACTTTCTCCCCATCACATGACTGACCAGGAATCTCTCCAGCTCTTATCGCCTGCCATTAGTGTGTGGGAAGGATCTTCCAAAGGGATGGGGTGAAATTGGACTCAGAGCAAGGGCACAAAACAAATGGGGACACTTTTTGTTTTGCCTGTTATACCACACTTAATCTTGGGTTCTACAGCAGTCAATGGAACTATGCTCAGTGGAGTGTTTGATAGGCATTCAATGTGATTCAACCTGTCTTACTTTGCGGCCATGTCCAATTTTACCCCTTGCTGTGGGCTGGTTTGAAAGGCACAAGTACCTCCCCAAGGTGGCAATTCTTCATATACCCACCACAGAGGGCCTTATCGGTAAGCTCAGTGCCCTGGATGTCCATCCACATGCATTTTCAGCAGGGATTTCCAGACTATTCAGCACAGGTAAACTCCAGTCACACTGTTTAACCCCAGGCCACTGTAGCACCAGAGCGTCTACACTCGCAAATGAAATCAGCAGGGAGCGAGGAGCCTGGACTGGACAACATGGCAATGCACTACACAAACGCCTTGAGAACAGACTGGGCGATATAATGACTGACATTTTTCCATGATTCTTTCATGAGATGTGGACGTTGCTGGCAAGGCCAGAATTCATTGCCCATTCCCTTGAATTGAGTGGCCTGTGAGATTTCAGGGGGCAGTTAAGAGTCAACCACATTGCTGAGAGTCTGGCATCACATGTAGGCCAGACCGGGTGAGGATGACAGATTTCCTTCCCTAAAGTGAACCTGATGGGTTTTTATAACAATTGATGGAAATATTAACCTGGATTTCTAGGATTACTAACCTAGTGACATTACCACTATGCTAACGCCTCTGCTGCTGCATGGGGAACCAAAGCCATGACGACTGGATATCTCAAAGTGCTTTACAGTCAATCAAGCACAATTGAAGTGTAGCCACTGTTGTGATATGTACACAGTAAATGTCCACAAACAGCAATAAAGACCAGATAATTTTAAAAACTAAAAGAACTATAGGTGGTGTAAATTTGAAACAAAAACATAAAATTGCTGGAAAAGCTCAACTGGTCTGGCAGCATAGAATCATAGAATGTGTGGAAACAAGCCCTTTAGCCCAATAAGTCCACACCGACCCTCAGAGCATCCCACCCACACTCATCCCCCTATAACCCACCTAATCTACACATCCCTGGGCACTACAGGTAGCTTAGCATGGCCAATCCACCTAGCCTGCACATCTTCTCTCACACACACACACACACAGAGGCTCAGTGGTTAGCACTGCTGCCAGGGACCTGGGTTCAATTCCACTCTCAGTCGACTGTCTGCGTGGAGTTTGCACATTCTCCCGTGTTTGCGTGGGTTTCCTCTGGGTGCTCCGGTTTCCTCCCACAGTCCAAAGATGTGCAGGTTAGGGTGGATTGGCCATGCTAAATTGCCTGTAGTGTCCAGCAATGTATAGATTAGGTGGGTTATAGGGAAACCCACACAGACACGGGGAGAATGTGCAAACTAAACACAGACAGTTGCCTGAGGGTGGAATTGAACCCAGGTCCCTGGCGCTGTGAGGCAGCAGTGCTAACCACTGAGCCACCACATCTGTGAAGAGAAATCAGAGTTAACATTGCGGGTCCGGTGACCCTTCCTCAGAACCAAATAATTTTGTTTTTTCCCCCTTAAGTTAATCAACAGTTACATTTTGGCCGGGGTACTGGGGATAATTGCCCCCTGCTCTGCTCTGGAGAGTGCCTTGACAGCTTCTACACCCCTGAGAGAACAGCCAGGTCCTTAGTTTAACATCTCATCCAAAGACGGTGGAACATACTCTGTATTGCATGGGAGCATTTGCCTGGAGTTTTACACTCATGCCCTGGAATGGGACTTGAACCCAGAGCTTTGAGAGAGATAAACACGCTACCAATTGAGTCATGGCTGACACACATGAGATACGGTTATTTGCATAAAGTCTATAAGTGTAATGATAAGAATGACATAAGCAACAGTGCCAACTGATGCAGAGCACTTTGATAGTACTGTATTTGACCAGACACACACAGGTCAACACTCTCATCGGCCCACCACTATAGTTCTCCAGATTTAGAGTGTTCCTTAACAGAGATAATGTGCACTCTATGTTGGTGAAACATAAACACCGCAGAGTGACGTGCAATTATTCATCAGGAGCTTTAATCAAAGACATCAACATGGTGATGGGCTTGCCAAGCTTATCACAACTGAATTAGGTCCCAAAATTCCTTGGGTCACAATTCCTATTTTAGGGTGTCTCCCCCTGTTTCTGGCCTTAGCCGCTCCTGACATCTGACCCTCAAAGCATTGCAGGAAACTTCCAAAGATGGTGCTGAAGGGCCTGTTTCCACACTGATGGCCTCTGTCATTTCACTGCAGGACGCTTGAGGATTCCACCAGTTATGGTGAGGGACCATGAGCAGATTCTCCTGCTGAATTTCCACTTGTATCGCCTGTACAACGCAATTTCTGAATTCAAAAGGATGGCAGTGAATGGATTTCCAGTGATTTTGCCCCTTGAACGGTAAAAAAGCCAATGAAAACCTTTCACCATGAAGGCATTCCACTGAATGCTAACATTCTACAATTTTGTTCAGTTTAACATCAGTTTATTTTGCCTGATTTTGGAGAAACGGTCGTTGGGGAGGTGTAGACAAAGATCTGATCCCAAAACTTGCCTGCAGTAGCTCCTGGACAGCAATCAAGAGTGGGAACCTTGGGAGGAGGCTTGTCCCTCCATAGCATGCTGCATAGCCCTGTACAGTGCTCACTACACACTTAAGGAGACCAGAGAACCAATTAATTTAAATCTTTAAGTATTGTTGGAATCAAAAAATATTACTTGAGCAGCTCATCTGAAACAGAAGGTCACCCATCTTGAAATTGAAAAGGATAACGTTCTACGCACCTTCCAGAGTGTTTGTCAGAACACTTAGAACACTGTTCGCTCTGTCCTTCCTTCCGAAAGATGCATTCAACTGGTCCATCGACACCAGGAGGGAGCCCGAATGTTTCTTCTTGCTCTCGATTTCAGTAGTAGGCTGTAAATGGTTACATTGTGATTAGTATAGTTCCAATCCTACTTTCTTAAGAAACATGGCAGTGTGCGGCTTGCATGCTTCATCCATAGATAAGCAGGTGAGGAAAGGGGAAGGGAGAGGGGATACAAGTGACAGTTCAATACAGCAATCAAAACCCATCAAGGATAGCATCCTCCACTGCAACTAGTTTAGCTAAGTGCCTCACCAAGATGATGTCCAGTTTCCACTCTGTACAATCAAATTAAATAACCTGTACATTATATTGTACTTTGTCACATGTAATGCTGTTCAGAATAGTTGAGAGATTTACATTTGGCCAGTACACACTAACTTTGAAAAATATAAAGGAAGATAGGTATATTTTTAAGAAATGCAGCGAGTGCAGTTATTCCATCAGTATCTTTTCTGAGCTGAACATATTAGTTATGTATACAATATTGCGACTTCACAGTCAGATCATTATATAATCTTTAACCCTCTCTACTTAAAGCTCCCATCCCTCCCCGAAACAGTCCTGAATCTCAAATCTCATATCTACAATACCTTGAGTACTGATTTTCTCAACAGTCTTCCTGGTCTTCACTTTTCATAAGGTCCAGAAATTCAGGATCCCTCAATTCCAGGTCCAACTCTCAAGATGTCCAATACATCCATCATTTCCATGGCTCCTTTGACCCTTGGAGATGGGCTTCAATATACTTGTCCTCATCCTTAAACTCCTCTATGGCTTTATTCCAATTTTTGACAAAAACATCCTTGAAACGTTCCCCTTATCTGCTCTTCACTATCTGTTCTAGCACTTAAAGTCAGATTTTGAGTCACTGTCCTCAAGTTCATCAATAAATTTCTCATTACCTCCTTCTCCATCTTCAAAAGTCTCAGAAAGATTTATCTCATTAGCTAAGCTCCCCACCACTGCCAACATTTCTCCCTTTGTTTGGGTGTTTGCTTCACTGCCTTGTTAAGTGCTGAGAGTTCAGTTCTTTAACGCAAGGAATGTTGCACTAATCTAAGTTGTAATTGAACAGCTCACGAAGAAACAGCAATTCTGACGGAACATATAACCTTTCTCTAGCAATTCCGCAATCCCATTAGGAAGCAGCATTCATTGAGAATGCTGGGCAGAAATGATGTTACAAAAGCGATCACTTTAACATCAAATAATTGTACTGTACTTTTGTCGAGCATGGAATTGCTGAGCTTATTCCTCCCCATTTTAAAAATCTGTTCCCAATTCCTGGCCTTCATCCAGCAAACCACTTCTTCTCATCAAATTCAATCATTCCCAAAGTTATGGCAGCACACAATCAAACTCTGCCAGTCATGATGTATGGGACCAATTTTAATGCTGTGAATGTTATTAGAAGCAAGTTAAAATCTCACCCACTATATGAGCAGAACAGTGCACCTTAACAACGCTACAATCCCCCAGAATCCGTCTCCAAGGGAGTGTTCAAAATCTTCAGTAGCGAAGACCCCTCTTTGTATATTATATCTTGCACTCTGTACTGAACAGCATGCCTTTCACTGGATTTAACAAGCTCTGCCACACCAATGCATTACAGATAGATTATACACTAAAGCAATTTACCAGACTGACTTTTACTGCAGCCCCCTCCCCTGCAAGTTTTAACAAGGGTGGCCATGTCATTAGAGCACCTCCGAGTTACCATCCATCGAAAATTGGACATATACTGCTATTCCTTTATTATCTGAAGATCCTGGAAGTTCTCTATCAAACAACACTGTGGCTGCATTCACTCAAGAACTGTAGAAGCTCAAGATGAGGTCCACTATCATTATAAAATGACTCATCAGTCCTTTGTCACAGTTACTCAGAACAAATTTATGAATAAAACACTACAAATGCAATCTGGTGTAAGAATGAGGGCAACGTATTGACATTTTGGTTCTTCATTTGGAGACAAATTTTAAATGATCCTCTCAGATCCTTAACCTAAGGGCAGTGCATTGTGGCATCATTCAGTTTCCCATTTTTTTTCAACTGTTTGAATTCATGAGGAAATAGAAGACAAAAAACATTTTAGCTGATTGAAAGCATAAAGCAGAAAACATTTAAAACATACAGCATGTACGTCAGTATCTGAACAGAGAAAGAGCAAATTAGTGCTTCAAGTGTATGTGCTAAATGTAACCAAACTTCTCCAATCCTGGCCCCTTGTTGCAATTGCGTACATCACTTGGCCAGTCGTGGAAAATGGGGTGTGCAGGGGGCACTGGGGTCTGTTCTACTGCAGTCTCATCCACTTTACACGTGCAGTTTTCAGGATCTGAGGGCATACAGTGAACGCTTCATTTAAATACATTTTTTCATGGGATGTGTGTATCACTGGGAGGGCCAGCATTTATTGCTCATCCTGCATTGCACCCTGAACTGAATGGCTTGCTTGGCCGTGGTTAAAAGTCAATCCTGTAGTCCTGGAGTCACATGTAGGCCGACCAGTAAGGACAGCAGATTTTCTTCCCTAGAGGACATTGGTGAACCTGATGGGTTTTAAATGACAATTGATTGTAGTTTCACAGTGAGATTTCCATGAAGCCACCAGTCTAACTTGTGCTATTATAAGATTTCAAACAGGAGGAAACAGGATAGTACAGAACAGCAACTAAGGAAAGCTGATACTTGGAACTTAATGGTGAATTGCTATTTTTTAAGTCAGAGATTGGATTAGGTTTTGGTCAAATCATTTCTGTTCTATATTTTGATCACTCTTCGCTTCATGTCCAAGTTTCCCTTGCGAATGGCTCTTCCTTCTCTAGAATGGAGTGAGTCGCTGCAAAAAGGTTTCTCTAATTGCAATTCCCCTCTGTATAATTTATTTGCTGGAGCAGGAAACAGAGCAGCAGGTGAGTGGAGAGAAGAGCCACATCAGTCAGCATCCTCATTCAGACACCCAGTCCAATCAACACCCAAGAGGTTGAGTCAGGAGATCTGTGTCAGACAATGTTGCAGAGGGGAATCTGGGAACTGCCACCTTTTTCTGTTCTACAGTTTCAGAGACTTCGACAGTACAGTGCGCCAAAAGATCTTCAGTTGAGGGCTGGCATCTCCTCATCCATCACTTATGATTATCCTTCTCTACTTTCAACACCCTCTTCACTGTCTTCCTTGAAAGTTGTGCAGCACTCTGGAGTAGGAATGTGTCCTGTGCAGTAGTGATAAACCAATAGCATCATACTGTCTGCCTGAAATATACTTCACAATGGAACTAACATGGAGCTGAGCATATAACAGGAGATTGGTTCAATGCCACTCACTCTACTCCTAGCCTGCATTAATTCTCTGGTCTCCATTTCATACCATTAACTCTTGAAGTGACACCATTTCCGCTGGTGACTGCAAACCTGAGGTTCATGATGACATGAGTGAATTCCTGCTGGGTAAGCTTTTGAAGATGTTGCTATCAGATGGATTTTCCAATTCTGTGGAGGGAAATTAATGGGGAAATGTGATATGTTTCCTACAAGCTGGCATTTTTTTCTTGTTCCATTCATGTAAGGGTCTCCTCTAAGCACAGACAGTCTGAAAAGTGATTTTTTGTGTTGGCTGTGAACAATGGTACTTGTGGTGCACTTTTCATTTGAGGATGCACATCTCCACCTCAGAAGAGTGGGACTCCAGTATAACGGCTGCCTCCTCTTCGTACTGAGTTAGTGGATAAAAGATTGCTGTTCTTCCTTATGCAATGGAGTCTTCCTGCAAATTACGCCTAATTTGCTTTCCTGCATGCAAACAGAAACCCTGATTACTTTCAGGTAGAGAGTTGCTTGTTTAAAAATTACCAGAACATATATAAGATTTTCCTTATAGAATCTTGAAACTGAAAATGATCCTGCAAAGGCACATACCCAATGCAAGATTCTCCAGTGCAGCAACATAACTGTGAACGCATCTGTATAGTCCACAGGGTTATAACCTTATATTTTCACTGAACATTTAAATGCAAAATAAAGATGACGAATGGCAGCTTACCTTTGCTGACCTTGTGCAGTCATGAAACTTGAGACTGGCGTTGGTGTCTTGAGGATAAGGGAGTTGCCACTCACTGACTGTGCCACTTCTTTCCAAATGATTGTGGCTGGCTGCAGACTTCTCATCACCCGCTGTCATTTTTGCATTCATTTCATGTCCAACTTCAATCAGGAGAATAGTCAAGTCACTCTCAGAGATAGTTGCTGTTCTCACCTTCCTGCTTCCTGCGGGAGCCACTTTGTGGCATGTTGGCCTGAATTAAGGATCGTTCCATTTCACATTCTGCCACTGCACTCTCAGGAGTCAGTACAGACCAAACTAGCATAGTGCAGCTCATGAAAAATAAAGAAAGTGTTGGAAAAGCTCAGTGGGTCTGGCAGCATCTGTGGAGAGAGAAGCAGAGTTAATGTTTCGAGTCCAGTGATGCTTTATCAGAACTGGATTTCATGAACTGCATTTCATGATGACTAGATGTCTCGTGTCACTTCAGAACCAATTTATGCACAGATAGGTCCTGCAGACAACACTGAGACTCAAAAGAGTTAGATACTAACCAGTACATTCATAGCTTCCTGCTCCCCTTTTGAATAGTGTCAAGAAATGTGTTCTGAAGAGGAGTCATATCAGACTTGAAGCATCAACTCTGCTTCTTTCTCTACAGATTCTGCTGGACCTGCTAAGTCTCTCCAGCATTTTCTATTTTTACTTCAGATCTCCAACAGCCGCAGTACTGTGCTTTTATAAGCAAAGAATTTTTCAATGTCCACTTGAGAATTGTATCTGAAGAGAGTAGCACACCCTCAGTACTGCTCTGAAGCATCAATCTATTGGGGCTCCAGCCTACAACAGCCCCGTGACTCGGTGCAGGTTAAAACAACAAACATCTGAACTTTGTGACCACTTCCATCCAGCTCAAAGCTTTAGGATATGGTTAAAGATGTCACTCTTAGTCTCTTCTTCATGTAATCTGCATGACTGCAATTCTAGGAATCAGAGTGAGGAGGGA